TTCTAACCCGATTGAGCAAATTAATATGACCACATGGGTCTGATCCATGCATGCCTTAATGGCTTTGTCTTAGTGGTTTTGGTTCTACTTGTATGCATGACTTTCTATTTACTTTGTCTTGAGCTCAAGTATGCTTTTTTTTTTCTCTTTCGATCAGTTTTCTTTTGACATATTCTTTCTCTGTTGGTTTTTGCAGAACCCAGGATTCGACTTTTCGCAAGCTCAGTTCACGGGTAATTGTCCAGATCCAAGGAGCTTCATGGGGGGTATTCGTTCTGACTAAATATAGTCCTTCCACTATTGTTGCTATAGTAGTATGTTCAATATAAACTCAAAAGTCACTACAAAATGTCTCATGGCTCATAAATAAACGCCCTGACTCTCTGTTTCTATAACTCGTAATGGCAAATCTTATAACTCGTAATGGCAAATCTTATAACTCGTCTTTCGTCTCTGTTTAGTTATCTTTTTCTTCCCGACAACAGAATCGAAACATCAACTAAAGTCCACTGAGCCGCCATGCATTCATCTCTACTTCGAATCTTGTTTTGGTATTTGACAGCTTTTCAAAAAGATATTCTGGAGGAACATAAGGAATTTGAACAAAATAAATTGTAGAAAAAATCATCTTTCTCTATTTGAAAATTTTAATAAATGATTTTATTATTTTACTTAAACCAAGAGAAAAGAGAGCTTTATTATTAGGCGCGCGTCATCTCCCTCGCGACACATATCATAAGACAGAGAAGAGGAACGAATCTCAAGACGTTACGTATTAGCTTATAGCCATTATTAGTTTTGTCTCTTCTACTAGTTCGTTGGTCGTCTTCTTCGTCTTAGTAATTCCATGATTCTTCTTCCTTCTGCTTCACCTTCCCGATGACCCTCTGCACAAGCCGCGATCATGACGCTAAATCCTCCTCCGTCGCAGCAAACGCCTCAGTCGCCGCGTCGGATTCCCAATCGCCGCGTTCTCATCGTCGGGAATTACTGCCACGACGTTCTGATCCAAAACGGATCCGTCGTAGCTGAAACACTCGGCGGCGCCGCCTCTTTCATCTCTAATGTCCTAGATTCTTCCTCTGTATCCTGCGAATTGGTCTCCAAAGTCGGACACGACTTCAGATACGAGGTTATCCACTCTCCGATCGTGGCTCCGGACAAAGAAACCACAATTTTCGAGGCGTATTTCGATCTGGGAATCGATGGGATCGGTCACGCTGATCGGGTGTTGAAACGGGTCTCTGCATGTGATCCGATTCTTCCTTCGGATATACCCGATTCGAGATTCGATTTCGGGATGGCTGTTGGAGTCGGTGGCGAGATTTTACCGGAGACGCTTGAGAAAATGGTGGAGATCTGCGACGTTGTTGCTGTGGATATTCAAGCTTTGATTAGGGTTTTTGATCCCGTGGATGGAGCTGTGAAGCTTGTTGATTTGAAAGAAAGTGGATTTTTTCACATCTTGCATCGAATTGGATTCTTGAAAGCTTCATCAGACGAAGCTCTTTTCATGGATGTTGAACCAATTGAAGCAGCTGTGTAGTGTGGTGGTGACTAATGGTGAAAAAGGGTTG